TGACACGGCAGCCTCGGGAGTTTCTCACAAAGTTGCTTCGGGACGAGTTAGAGACCCCCAATTGTCAGGCAGCAATATGCATACCGGCATCACTTAAAATCATGATATCGGTCATCGTCTACATCATTGCTTACCTGTCCCGGGTTGAATTACGTACACTTCGACGGTCCATATAACGTACCAATCCCGTGACCCGTCTCCGAATGCAAGGGAATTGACGGAAGCGCCCGCCTGTTACTATTGTGGACTCTCCCTTAGCTTGACCCTCCGCGAGACGATCAGCATCTAGACAGCCTTGCAACCAGTGTAACGATGTTTGAGCCGTATTCTTGAGTGTTATACCCGTATCCGGTTAGGACGGATTCCTATTTGCTCCATCGCGGGGCTCTGCCTAATTGCTGCGAGATGTCAGCCTCAACAGCTTCACTCAGAGCTATACAGTATTAGCTGATAGCGAAAGACGGGTATCGTCGCGTCAGATATCTTATGGTTCTACCGATATGCAAGAGCCTAGAAGCTAGCGATATCAACGCCCGGGTAAGCACCCCAGTATTGCTCACCTAGTCTTCTCACCGTTACCCCAATCGGTCGATCGTGCTGATATGTAAAAGCAATTTTGATGAAGCTTACCGTTCTTCCCGGGATTCATCAGCTGGGCTAGGGTATGACGATTCACAACTCCACCGCATCTACAATAATCTAAACTCTAGTCTTACTCCCAAGATTGGTACCTACCATCAACCAGACCTGGTTAGCGAAATTGTCCTATTCCATGTACCTCTATAGCCCATTCTCTAATGGGAAGTCTCGTGGATCAGGTACTAATTGCAAAATCAAGACTAACTACCCGGGGAAAATCACCTCACCTACATATTCTCATGACCGGTATAGACGCCGGTTTCCGTCAGAAGAGTCATGGTCAATCCAAGCAGCCAGTGGGTCCGCTGGCGTGCTGAATCTAACTGGCCAACACAAGTCAGCAACAATTATATCTTACGATGACATGTTACCAATTACGGACCAAATTGCATTCTTCCAAGCTCCACCTTATTCTAGAGCTATCTATTATGAAAACACCTGTCAGTAGGAAAGCAAGCTCCATCTCGGCGGCCTCAAGAGCTCGACTTCGAGCGCCTACCGTGATTTCTTGGCATTGCAAAGTAAGACAGCCTATAGCTACTCTGTAAGAGTAACTATGATGTAACGTAAGTTGTTCGGTTACGATTTCATACTATACTTGACAGGGCGATTCGCGCCATGGCTCTTCGTGTTTAATGTTTATCTCTATTTTACTAAGCCTCCTTTACGAAAAAAAAATCCTATAAAACAGGGCGCGGGGGCGGGATTCAATCCCCCTTGGAAAATGCAGCAGGTAGCATATTCTAAATGTATAATGGTGTAGTATTTTCAGTGCAGAGATAATGTTTCTTTATTTGTGCGCCTCATTAACCATATAATGGAGGGTGGACTAGCCTCGTATAATACTGCTCTGTCGTTGGTGATAGACCGACAAGTCAGCCTTGTCAGAAGTAGCCTCTCCCGAGCCTCGGTGCCGATCAGGAGTGACCTCTTATTTCAGCCGTAGCCCGAAAGAACACGGAGCCGAACGGCAAATTTAGCGTTTCGGGCGATGCACAGCGGATATGAGCCTCTCGGTGTTGGTATACAATTATTGTGCGCCCCCATCTCGCAGGCGTAGGGCTCTGTAATATGTGATATACATAACGCAGCCCTACGAATCCCACGTTTTCGCGTCTACGGCGTCAATATGTATTACCTGAGAGCACAGCGCCATGCAAGTTAAAGATGTTGTGCCAATATCTGCATTCCGCACTTCACATTCCACATTCGGCACTCTGCATTGCAGCTGTCTGTTCTACCGGGGCGGTAAATGGCGTTTATCAGAGGAAGGATATTGGTGGGAATGGCGAAGTAGTAGACCGAGAGGGCGTTTCCCCCTCATGTCCGACTGTGGCAAAGTTGAAGAACATACCACAACGTACGTATTGCTTGCGAATTGCCGAGGTAGGATCGAGGCCGACTAATGAGTATTTCTCTTAAATCGTCTCACTGCGTCAATTTAACATAGCCAATAATTACATGTATTGAATCGCCTCGTAGCAAGCCATCTTGGAAATCCGTTACCGAATATGTACCTATATGCTGAAAGCTGGAAACTGGCAGCGCTGTAACGGGTCGTACAAAGAACCATTCAAAGGACACTATGGAGGCCTTTGTATCTTAAAGTAGCACACGATACGCGTCTAAGAGGATCGAATACTACCAACCATGTCGCTATTCTATACACTACTACTACTCAATACGTGTCAAGTATGCCTAGTCGTATAATCATTAATATTATAATTTCTACATATAGAGGTACATATTCATTCGGTGTAATATTGCAGTGTTGCATTCGAAAATATCAAATGGCGGAGTGAGTGAGTTAACAAGCTACCTGATATACTCCTTTCTTTCATTCCATTTTCGCTGGCTCTAATACACGTGTAATAGATAGAGGTATAGACAAGTATATCAGGGAAAAGGGGGACGGAATAAATCACTAATACATAAATAACTTACAGATAATATTACTCCAGCGCATCGCAAAATACCCACCGATTTAGGTATATAAAGGCCGATTCGAGTTAAACCTATGATACAAAAATATATAAAATGAAATAAAATACCAAATAAAGAAAAGCGACTAGATACCCTGCGGCAAAGAAAACTAAAATCTGCAGAGACGGAGGAGGCAAAACGGATTTGACGTTTAAACTCCTATCGACGAGGAGAAATAGCCTACCTCGGAAGATTATAAATAGGGGTTATCCGAGTCCGACGACGCCAACCGGGGCCGCTTGAATCCCAGCGTCCTATCGCCTATGTAATCCGCGCGGAACGTACATTATTAGCTGAGACGTGCAGGACGGCCAACGAGATTGGGGCCCTTACCTACCTGACCTAAAGGAGGCCGCTCGCGATACCGAGTCCCGGGTCGTACGGGTAAGAAAACAAGGTAAGGTAATGCAATGCAATGTAATGTAATGTAATGCAATAGAGGATAGTGATAGCAAAAAAAAAAAAAAAGGCCGAGAATTTGTGCGTGCCTGAGTCATTATACTTACACATTACACATATACTTACACTTACACTATATTACATTACATATATGACTGAATACCGAAAATAATTCCACCGTAGGTTCCGGTCCAGCTGAGCGAATTCAACGCCTATCCAGCGGTGACCAAGATCTCCGACATATACGCGAATATGAAGTACCTACCTCCTTAATGTAACGTGCCTATTATACTACTACCTCTTGAACTACCACCTACATACATACATATATACATAGCCCCTCTATACCTACCTATACAGCGAGACCGAGAGTCATCAGTCATCTCTATACCGATACATGGTACCTATATATCTAAATAAATCAAACAAATATTGGACCTACGTTAGGTACTTAACTTACCCAATCGACATAAGCCCTCTCCCTCCCCTCAGCACGCACATATCTCCAACAACAATAACAACAGCAACAACAACAACAGCAACAACAACAACAGCAACAACAACAACAACGCCCCCGCCACCATCCCGTACGTACTTACGTGCATAGGGCTTGTGCGACGGTAGCAGCCCTCGGTTCGGCTGCTGACATCGTCTATATCCGCTTCCTTTCACGTGGTCGGAATAATTAAAAAAATGGGGGTGGCTGCTTAGAGGGTAGGTAGCATTGCTGCGCAGTCAAAGTACTGCCAAGTAGACGGATACCTACATGTATACGTATATGTATAAGGTATATGTATCTACCTATATATCCTATGTACCTACCTATATGCAAGTGGGCGTGCGACGGATACGATAGGTACCCGTATGTATTATGCATATTCGCCATCCCTGAGGTGAGATTCTCGAACCGGCGACAACTTTCCTCGCCCATTTCTGCTTCGTCAACGTCAGTCAGTCATATATCCCACTGACTAACTACCTACCTAACTAACCGCTAGTATTACAAGAAAGTTGCTATTCCCAACTTGCCTCCTTTATATTAGGTAAGGTATTTGAAATTCGCCAGTCGAAGTAACCAAGCCGCTTGCAACGGCATTAAGAACGTCCAAAAAAAAAAAAAACCGCCCTAAGCCCGCCGGAATTAGCATAACTACACGAAAGACAAGATGAGTAAGTGGACAGGCAAAACCTCCAAGTCGCGAACAGGCACGAGATTTAAGATATCAATCGAGACGGGGTTTGATATGTTTTGATATGCTAGGTAGTAAGGAGCATAGGTATCGAGATATCCTCTCTACCTCATATCTTCACCTTCGCCCTCACCTTCACCTACACCTACAACCCATCTACCCTTCTTCATCGTCATTTGATTTCTGCTTTCGTCTGCAGCGTTCCCCCTCCCCCCTTTGTATGTCTTCTAAACATCCACCACGAAGACGTGCCGTTAGGGAACTCGAAGTTGAGCTCGCCCCTCTATCTGCATTTTACGGCTTGGATCTTCGTTATTATATAAAGTAGTATGGCACATGCGTTCAAAGGAAAAAAGAAAAATGAGAGAATAATAATGTTCACGTCCCTTAACTCAAGGCTATGCTCCGTCTCCGTTTAACTCATGCACGGCAAGCTGGACTCAAAAAGCATTATGTAGTTGTATATTCACTCGTCATCGGGATCGATTGCGGTAAGCAAACACGGCCAACATTATCGATGTATATAGTAGCAAGGCGACACCGGAAAGAAACTAATGGTAGCGATGATAGCTAGGTATTTAGCTTCGATATGGTAGATATACTCGATTTTCGGTATTCGTCGTCTTAAAAACATGTGCAATACATCACGCCGCCATCCGAGATAGACGTATAAACATGGAAGCTGATTTGACCCCTCTATGGTGTCAATGGAAATAAATGCCTAATTAATCTCATAAAACGTGCTAGGACACTCGATCTCAAGCTCCTAATATGTGAATATTTACTCGTTCAAGCTCGTCGACTCATAGCAACATTAGCCCCCACCGAGGCCAGATCTTGTTTGCCGCTAGCAGTTCGGCCGGCCACACGGGGGAGGTTGCTGTTGCCTACTGTTGCAGCTGTTCCCGCACTAGCTCTTTTTGTACCGGAAGTAAGCCCGGTGAAAGCAGATGTCCGTCTCGCTGCCCCGCCTGGCTTCAGAGGGCTATTGTTTGTTTCTCTGGGACGTAGGGTTGGTCCGCTCTTACCGGGTCCCGGGGGTTCGGGTAGGGGCCGCGGCGTTGAAATGGTATTGTGACGCTTGACCGGAGAGGACTCGCGTGTTCTAGGTACAGGAACAGATGTTTTCTGACCGGTAATGAACTCATGACGTATAGCCTCTTCGGGCTTAAGACGGCGGTCCGGATCCCATCGTAAGCACCGTCCGAGGAAGTCGAGGAATGGTTCGTCATCACATTTGATGGCCTGTTGAAGTGTCTTGGAGGATGGACGGCGCCTCCTACCTTTTGAAGATACGGTCAAGCGCGGCTTGCCCATCGAATCAAAGAAAAGCTTCTTCCTCGTACTCTTCTCAATGAGATGCTTTTCAGGCGGACCAAATACCTCCATAATGCAAGCAAGCTGTTCTTGCTCATTCTCACCGGGGAAAATAGGGACACCGGTGTACAACTCGGCGAGAATGCAACCCAAACTCCACATGTCAATTGGTAGGCCGTAAGTCATTCCTAGAATAACCTCAGGCGATCGATAGAATCGGGATTGAATGTATGTATAAACCTTTTCGTTTTCAAAACAACTAGAACCAAAATCGATGACCTTAATTTCGGAATGCATAGGATGCCGAAGTAAAATGTTTTCCGGCTTAAGATCGCAATGGATCACCTTGTGCTGCTTAAGGAGGTTGAGAGAGCTCAACATCTGTTTGGTGAATCGTCTGATGAGCTTGAGAGAAAACCCGCGGAAGGCATTGGATTTGATGAATTCGTAGAGATTCATGTCAAGAAGCTCGGTCGAAATGCAGAGATGGCCGCGGAAATAGAAACTGTGAGTAAAGTTGACCATACTATGCCTATTTTGAGGATCCTGAAATAATATTAGTGAAATCTACCAATTTAGACGAACGATATCAATAACATACCCATTCACGAAGCTTTTGTAGAATATTGACTTCGACAAGAGCTTGCTGATGGAACCTCTTCTTGTTGCGGATGATCTTCACCGCAACAAGCACGCCAGTTTTATGATCAATACATCTTACCACTTGACCAAAACTGCCCTTTCCAAGAACATCGACAATCTCGTAACGATACGCAAGGTGATCGCCCACAACAATCGAGTAGTCTCCGCGCTCGTCATCATAACCAAAGTTCGGAAGTTTTGAGTTCAAATCGCCGATGACTTTACTAGCATTTTGAGTGCCGCAGAAATAGACGTCGTTATAATCGACAATCTCGCCCCTCTCATAGATGTTTAGCATGGCTATCCGGATTGCTTCATGAGCACCGACACGCTCCTTCGGCGTTGCCCTCTTGCGGAGAGCATCTAGCGTTCGAGCCGCCATTTCCGTCTCCTTCCTCCTCAAGGCCAACTTCCTCATCTCATCCTCGGCGACCATATCGTCCTTATCCAACTCTGCAGTATAAGAATCCCGACGCTTAATTGATGCAGTAGATGGCCTCGGACGGAGTATCTTTTGCATAGATAAATTCCGGGGTTGTGATGAAGCCTCAACCATTGAGTTGTTACCCACATCTTCCTTGGAGCTTGTCCAGGCATCGCTACGATTCTTCTGTGTAAACATGGTATTGAGACTAGACGCAGAGCTCTTCCTGCGTCTGGATTCCAAATACGTTCCCGATGGTTTCGTGGTGTGGCTCGGACTAGAAGCCTTCGCCGCGCTTATATTTATAGATGCCGAAATTGGTAATCGCGGAGGTGGCATACTGTCCTGTCGAGCATGCTTCTCGGAGGCCTTATCAACAGATCCGGCAGACGCATGATGACTACTCTTCGAATTGCTTCTTTTCCAAGACAAGCTTAGTTTCCTTCTCAAATTACTCATCGAAGATGGTGTTGGAGGCTCTTCCGGACTATTTTCAGTAGGAGACTTATTGCCTGCTTTCGTCGACTTCTGCGCCCGTGGACCAGATGGCTTCTGGGGTGGTCTAGCTTCGACATTGGTATCAATTGAAATCGGTTGATTTACATCTCCAACCGTCTTAGATTTCGTCAGTCTACTACCAAATATGTTATCCTTTTTAGGAGCGACCGTAGAGAGGAATGGCGAGCCAGAGACTTTGCGAATTTGGTTCTTAGCCAGAGACTCAAGTGGCGATTCAGATAAACTTCCTCCGGCCGGGCTGTCTACTCGACTGTGGTGAATAGAACTATTACTCCGCATAACTGTTTTTTCAGATTCTTTATCCGTACGACCTCTAGAGAAGAATGTGCTCCTCGATGCTGTCATAGGTGTAGTGGGTGTCTTGGGAATCGTGCGCGAGAGTGGAGGACTGCATTTACCGTCATCTTCACCCTGGTCTCGTAAAGCTGTGATCTTTGCTTCGTTTATACTTAGTGGACCAAGAGTGAGCGGTGGAAGTCGTAGGGGTTGTAGACTCTTTTTCGATTGACTTATGCCAATCTTCTGTTCAATATCCGGACCTGCAAGTGTCTTCCGTGGGGCATGCTTTCGAGTACCGGTTTTACGTTGGTATTTCTTTATTGGTTCTTGTGATGGAGTACCTGAAGGGGTTCCTGTGGAGGTACTGTGAACGCTACTAGAATCTAACGTATATGTCGATTTTCTTTTTTCGAGGAAAGAAATTTCTGCTGGCGAATCCTTAGGTGATTCGTAAACCTTGGGAATTGCAGGTACAGGAGGTACATCCTCCTCCTCCTCACCTGCGGGGGGGTTATGTGCATTTAGCGTTTTAGGAGCAGGTAATCTCGATGCCGGACCGCCTTGCGGGAAGGTCCGCTGAATAGAACCAGTTGAAGTCCGGTGGGTATTGAAACTGTTCACCGAGGCAACAGACAATCCCGAACTGTAAGATTTTCTATTAGTAAGCTCTGGGGTCGTCCTTAAGGACGAAGGTGTAGATGTCTTTCGAGGAATCATAGAAGGAGAGCGTGAGTTAGGGCGAACTTCGATAGGTGGCGGCGGGGCGTTTGTAATTTGTGGTACGTTCTGTGTAGGATGTATCGACATGCGCTTCATCCGTTGTGCATCAGTTGGCGAGATAGTTCTGGCACCTAGACCGGTTACATGAGAACCATGGGTTCCGGGCATTACAGACATTCTTCTTGCAGAATTTGGTGTAGAACCTTTACCAGCTGCTCTTGGCGACCTAGGAAATGCTGCCGAAATACGGCTCTGATCTGGAGCAAGAGCATTACCGGTACTAGCACTTCCGGAGAGGTTGGCTGATATTCTTGGTGCAGGTTGTACCGAACGAGCCTTCGTAGCTCGTGTGTTTGCATAGGCTCTCGTTCCGTCACTAGACTGCCCTGAAATATCAATCGAGGTCCGAGCTGTACCCACTATACCTCTTTCTGATCCATCTGATATTAAGCTTGGCCTTCGTTTCTGCACTCTAGTCCCAAAGTCCGACTCGATAACACCAGGTCCAATCGATTTCCTCGGCTGCTTACCAACATTAGTACTAGAAACCGGAGGATAATGGTTCTGGCGCCTATTTCTCATTGCGGCAGGCGCGGTCGGCGCATCGACGAGACCGGAAGACGCAGACACAGTAGAGCTGCTGCTAACTTGGCGGTTTGACGAGCTGGGTCTTCTTAGTATTGAACCAGATCTCCCCGGTCTGGTGGCTGCTGCATTTGGGGTAGGGTTTGGTTGAGCTCCTGTGCGGGTCGTTGCGCCATTTAGGCTGGTACCCGAAGACTGCCTGACCATTCTGTCTGATTGCTCGTCGAGAATGGTTCCTTGGCCGGAAGGCGAAGGGAAATGTGTCAGTTTAAAATCGTTGGAGGCTGACTCGATGCTGCTCTGGAGATCATCGAAACTAACGGAGGGTAGGAATTCGAAAGAGCTGGTGGTATTATCTCCTACGTCACTTGGAGCCCCATTCCGACCGAAGGAGAAGATGAATGATTGTTGGACGACGATGCGTGAAGCATTGGCTCGTTATCGATTCTGTTTATAGGGTTGAGGTTCTCCTTGGCCCTGAAAAGAAACAAGCTGGATTAGTAAACATTAAACATTACAGAAACAAACAGCTACGCGGTGTTTCTTTTCTTATTGTAACGTGAGACGCGAGGTGAGTGGGAAAAACGCACGATCGAGTCGGGGACTGCGCAGCTGGTCTCGGGCCAGCAGGAGCCTTATGATCTCTAATCATAAGGAGTAACGCAGTCAAGTATCGTAACGAAAATTGGTGATCGGAACGGCAGTATAATCGACGAGTTTAACGAAAGTCGCGACGGATAAGTATTCGCTATGATCTCTAAGCGGCCAAAGCGAAAACCCGATATAATCCCCTAACTCGACCTAGATCTGAACCAGGAGGCTCGCGATCAATCTCAGTCCGGCTAAGGACCTGAGGGTGGCAATACTGCTACCGCATTCCGGGATGCAAATAAAAGCAAGACTAACAAGTAGACGACAAAGTCGCCCGTGCAAAGAAAAAAAAAGAAGAAGAAAAATACGATGGGCTGGCGTTGCGGTTTGACCGACTGTAACTACTATCGAATAGAATTAGGTTCACGAAAAGGGTTGGTGGATTGTTTTCATTAAGGGAAAGAAAATAAGAGGTCGAACGGGGCTGATCCACAGCTTTTTCCCGTACCGGTCAAGCGAATTTTTAGTCGCCTCCAAACTATCCTAGGAATTAAAGGTATCAGACCCGTTAGGTAGGTAGGCCGGTAGGTAGGTACAATTTAGTACGATTACTACCGTAAGGTAAGGTAAGGTAAGGTAAGGAAGGTACAGTTCCCTTCCGCGGTTCATCAAAGTTGGCTGTCTTGGATGTTCCCTATTAAGGTTGGCCCTGTCAGGGACTGGTTGGGGCCACTGTCCACTGATTGAATACAGATGGAAATCCACTTTTTTATTAACGATACGTTAGGTCCTTCGTACACGGACACTTGATGTCGTTACACACAGGTTTAATACACACAAAGGTGGCAGGTACATAGACAGGTACCGATGCTACTAGTGTACCTGTATTGCTGGCAGACACTTGGCAGGACCGGTTTACGGCACGTCGATAGCGGGATATCCTAGGCATGACACTTGGTACAGAACCCCTTAATTGCTTTGTTCTCATTTGAACATCACCACCAATTTCATAGTCCTTGTATCAATATATGATATAATTATAACCTCATGCAGATGCACATGTGTGTCAGCCGTATTACAAGCTTACGCATGGCATACATGTATACCTTTTTATTATCATGTTAACTATGGAATAAAGGAAATGCATCTTCATTTCCTATTAAATTTGATATATGTTCGATCGGTATTTACTGCATTTAATTTATGAAGAGGCGTTTTTACGTGTTATGCTAAGACTCGTCATTGCATGCGTGAGTCTAGATAAGGGAGATCGAGGGAGGAGGAAGAAAATAGTGGGAATACTAAGGAGACGACTATGTATGTGTATCAAGAGGAAACGTTGAAGATCGAATAATACGGAGAAGCCCACCCAGTATCATAAGTTCGGAGATTTATTTCTTCTCTTCTTATTTGATGATGAAAGAGATCTGCGGGGGACATGATAACGGCTGTCTTGGTTGTTTTCTTATTCTTTTTTTTTTTTCCTCTGTACTGTCTTATCATGCCATCAACAGGCCGTTATTATATTTCCAACAAGCTTCGTCTAATTTTTCTAGGGTTGTTGACCGTCTAAAGTCATCAAAGCGAGATGGTTGCCGGGTGAATGGTGATTGATGAGAAAAAGAGTAGGACAATCCTGCTTTGTTCGTCTCCATTAACAAAGTTGAATTGAATTTGGTACTGGTGTCCGTGCTTCAAAGCTCGGTTTTTAGTAAAGTGTCTACACCCGTGTTTTCATCTCATTCCGCATGTTTCACTTGTCCAGTAATATACGCTAACAAGGCACGGGCAGAAACTAAACATTTCGGCGTTACCGTGTTACCGTGTTACAGTGTTACAGCGATATATTAGACAAGGCGTATAAAATACAACAATGCTTACAACGCTCTTGCCACTAACAACACGCAAGATAACATGCAAGATTTGAGAGCAGTATTCCGTATCTTACCTTACATATGTTAACTAAATCCTCGACTTCAAGGACATACCTTTGTTTATGCAGCTAGCCCTTACTATTGTACCCTTACTATGTACATTGATGTAAGTCTTAGTGGGGTGGCCAGCCACTTTTATGTACACCTGCATGAACACATTCTGTGGGGTTGTTTCCTATCAACCTATGAAAAATGCGCCTAAGGACCCTCCCCTTTTCTTCTTTAGATCAGGAACGAAGAAAAAAAGGGACTTGTCATTGCCCAAAGTGGAATTGAGCTGATGGAATTGGCTGCAAGAAAGGGGTTCAGCAGTTCCAAAGCTCTGATCTCTTTTAAAGCTTTTTTTCTTTCTTTTTTTTTTAAGCCCTAACCCAACCGACGCGTTGAATAAGACAAATATTTCCACGCGTTTTTCGCGATTAGGTACAAAGTACCTACATTAGATATCTAAGATCACAACAAATTAGTATAATAGTTATAGAAGATATATGGAATTCTTTGTTTATCATTCAAGGTTCTACTGTCGTGATCCAAGCCAGACCCAGCTTTCATCTATTCCGCACAACCTATCGCCAACCCCTTTTCAGCTATCAGCCACCAAATTTAATAAAATTATAAAAAAATATCCAAGGGGAGCGGTGCCGGTCAGGGCCACATCGTACACCACGTGGGAAATGCATAGAGATTTCAGCTTTGCTTTCGTAAACAGCCGCTGATGACGCCTCGGGTATCTACTTATCTAGCTTACCACATGAGACTGCAAGAATCTAATATAATTAGGATTAATTAGAGAGTAGCCACTATGTACAGTTAGCTTGTTGCAATATGTGATATTTTATCATATCTGCGAAACTATTCATTTGAAGTGTCTAAAAGTATTAGATTCCAATGACGAGTCAACTCATGCGACAAGGCCTCTAGTATAAAATTCATACCTATGACACAGTCCACATTTCCATAATACGGCAAGCGGGGAATCTTATCTATGATGGCCCTCGCGCCCAAGATCATGCCGGGATTCGCATCGTGCAACCGACTGACATTAGCATCGTCCTTCCAGTAACACCACATCTGCTTAACTTGACAACCTCGGAGCGCCGTCTTTCTATCTAGGTAAGTAAGCCCACAGGGCGCGCGAACAACAAGATCGCTGGGCTGGGCTCTTGTCGCGAACTCGTGCTGTATAAGAGTGGAGTGGTTCGGGTTTCGTCCTGGTATCCTGCATCCTGCGGACTACACACAACATCTTAACCCGTCATTATACCCCCTTCCTCTATAAGAACAACCTCCACACGCCTAGCCAAGCCAACCCCAGCGACGTAGCCGCGATGCCGAATCTTCGACTCCGCATACCGAACATCGATTTCCTCGCTATGATTTGCGCCTGGTTCTTCTCGAGTTCTCGCTGGCCGGAAAAGTAGCTATAAGCCGCTAGGCCGATAAACGCACCGCCTCCTATAGCTGTATATCAGCATCGCAGGTTCGGTACAGTTTTTGGTTGTCAGGTACATCATTAGAATGCGCGGACTGACCTACAACTCTGCACGGGAGGCAATCTTCGCCCCGGTCCTGTTTTAGTAAGTCTTTAAGGTCCTCGGGCCTATCGAGAGTACCGACTGACGGCGGGTTATTCCTACTCATGGCGAAAAGTAGAGCGCAGCTTTAGCGCTCTGAAGGTAGACGGAAGGAGTTATTGTAAAACCTTTGATAATGATGATCTTTTTTGAAAGTTGCTAAAATGTAGCTGAAGATGAATTGGACCGTGCACGTTCAGAGCCCCCGCTAAGCTTCCGTCTGGACCGACTTGCCCGAGCATGTACATAATCACTCCCGGAGCGGTAAAAACGGAGACGTAACGGCTTTTCATCAAAATATTAGTATAGTATATTAAAATGAATCAAAAATTATGTAGAAGTTCAATACAAATTTAATTAATATTCACAAAGCTAGTATTAAAGCTTGAAGTTACTACTCAAGGCAGCCTTGGCCGCCTTTGCCTTATTACCTTCCATATCCACAATCTCGCCCTTCTTATTGATAACTTTAACACCGCCCAGCCCAGCTTGAGATCACCAAGAGTTTGTTTCTGTGCTTGAGCCTTCGCGCTCTTAGGCTTCTTATCTTCGAGACCGCCAGCCTTTCGTATTCTCCTTCTCTCTCCTGCGTCTTCTGACCTTGTCCTCTCTACTCATCTCTTCCTTAGCAACAGGTAGACCGCTCTTGGCAACCACCTCACCCTTTTCAGCAGTGTCCTTGCTAGCCTTGTAGATTTCTTGTGGGGCCAAAGTGTGGTCACCACCACTGACGCCCTGGGAGTCGTAGGTTGAGCGTCTTCCATACTGATCGTTGCCACATCCGATACGACTGTGAGGGACGGTGCGGCGGGCTTAGGTTTGTAGTGCCAGCTAGTGAGAGCATCGAGGCTCGCGCTAACTTCCTTCCACATCTGCTCAATTTCCTTCTCTTCTTTTCCAAGTTTCTCAGCCTTGCTCACGTAAGAATCTGGATTTGTGTTCTTGACGTGCTCCTCCTCGTAGATCTCCGCAAGTGACTGCTTAGCTTTGGTGTCGTCTAGATCAACAAGTCCTCGTCTAGTATTGGACGAGAACTCGGAGGCATCAGGGCGCCGTTTAACAACTTCGTCAAATTCTTGGGCTAGAATACGACGTTTAATCATATCCTCGATACTCTCGCTCACTTCAGCCGTAATAACCGGTACAGGCTTGCCCACGTGCTCAAAGTCGAGATCTTCCCCTAATAGAGAGTTCATCGGCCTATCAACAGCTTTAGCTTCTCCGGACATTGCCCACTGCCTCTTAGCCACATTTGCAGCTTCAAGCTGGCGAATCTCTTCTGCTAGTTTAGCTTGCCGCCTTTCGTGTGCCGATTTCCTGGATTTAGGATTGCCCGCAGAAGCGTCAGAAAGAGCATCTTCCGAATCTTCTCTCTCTGATTCGTCTTCGAACAAATCTCGCCGAACATCAGCTATTGCTCGATCAACGTCATTGTCGTCTAGTTTTGTCGGCCGAGGCTCCCTGAAGTGCTGAGCTCTGCTGTTTTTAGCTCCTTTTCGCTGAGGGGGGGCGAAGAAATCTTTATAGTAGATCTCGTTGGCGTTTGAATCATCTTCGTCATCCATTTCGTCGCCTTCTTCTTCGCTCTCTCCTTCTGGCGCATCCAGATCCATATTACCGAAGGTGGGCCCTCCATCTTCCTCATCGTCTTCGATATCAGAAAGCATCTCGTCATCAACGTCATCAGTGGACTTCTTGGGTTTCTTTCCGTTACTAGATGGCTTTATAGAGCGTGGGTCGGCGTGCCAATCTACTTCATCATCGTCACTTGCATGATCGACATCCGGGTCTCCTCGGGCATCCGCATCCTCAAACAATTGGGTCTGTTTGTTGAATTCGTCGATAGAAAAGAAACCATCGTTGAGACCATTGGGATCTTCAACCAGCTCTTGTGAGGCCTCTTCAGCCTCATCTTCATCGTCAATCTCATCTTCTTCTTCGTCGATGTCTTCTAGACCCCCCTCTATATCATTCTCTGATAATTCGGCATCATCCTCGAGGTCCTCCTCGTCCATCTCCTCGTCATCCTCGGCATCTTCCAGAAGTCCTTCTGAATTTTCGATATCTGAAGCAGACTCATAGTCAGCTGAATCATCGTCGGAGACATCTCCAGCTGGTTGGTCGATATCGATATGCGCATCTCCGTTGATACCGTTCACCTGGATTTCCTTCTGGTCTTCTAATTCTTGGAGTGCACTTTTCGAATCCTGCAGTGCGCTTGTGATAATTCTTCTCGCCTGTTGCCAAACTTGACCACTTTCAAACCCATCGACGTGAAGCTTCCTGATCTTTAGTATTTCTCCTCTGCCTAGCCCGTTCTCAGCTCGTTTCCGCTTCTTGCTTTCTTCCCTTTGGCGCTGCTGTTGTTCGTCGCATATTTGTCCAGCATATGCATCAAGCGTGGCCTTCGCAAGCTGCAGCGAAGCATTCGGGATTGTAGAGGCTGGCTGTAGGAAGCTGTGCCGGTTGCCAGACTTGATAGCCTCAAATAGTTCTAGCATCTCTACGGCGCTAGATGGTTTTGAGAGTCGACAAAAGAAGATAGAAATCCTACTGATGGTGCATGTGTTAAAGTATGTGAAGTTGAGGTCATAGAAGACGTAGTGCTAGCAGGCCCCGCCATTGCTTGTTACCAGCGAGGAGGGGAGTGAATATAAATACTGGACTTTTTTTTCTTAATCAATCGTTCGGCGAATCGAGAAAAATTGACCGGTTCAGAAAAACTTTCCTAGTTTCTAGGATGAAGCAAGGACCCCACACGTTATGGTGCTTATCGATAAAAATTAAGTTAACGAGTTGTCCCACAATTTAGTTTAGTCTTGGACCCTCTGACGGCATCACACCCACCTTAGATAACCTAGGAGATAACCTAGGATTCTTTAATCAGTACCATACCTCTCTCTTAGTTGTACCTTGAAATATTTAGCCTTAATAATATCTTTTAGATCTAATGATGTGCATAGCAACCCGGTCACCATGAATGGTGTAATAGAGGCGTTGCACATCTATGATGAGCATAAGTCAGTCTCCTCCTTCTAAAGGATATTATATTATAAACTCCTTTCCAACTAACAATAACTACCTAATCATATAGTCGTGCGATACTCTCTCATATCTATACCTCACGCCCTCTTTCGGCCGCCGTCCTTCTTCCCCTATATCTCGAACATCCAGCTCCGAGACCCAACTTAATATACCTACCAAATACTAATCCTCCGACCCTTGTATTTAGTCTTATACATGCAAATATACTTTACTTGGCAACCTCTTCTTCCGAGATAGAGCCTCTTCTCGTCCTCGAGTTCCTTCATCGCATAATCGATGCGCTTGAAGAGTTCCTCGGCGCCCCAGTCCTAGCGCATAAGATCGAAGCAAATTACGATGTCGTTGCTCAACTTCTTACTGAGATGTGCGATGCCGGTACTGTTAACACTACAGAACCAAACGCATTGAGGGATGTGGTTGAAGTGGAAGGTCTACTAGGGAAGCTATTAGGTAGCATTAATCTGCCTGGCAAATCCCCTAGCAACTCAAGCGCACCATCCCTTATATCCCAAACTGCGCCAGCTCTCCCCTGGAGGCGGGCAAATGTGCGACATACATCAAATGAGCTCTACGCCGACATTGTGGAGACGTTGTCCGTCACTCTTGCACCATCTGGTAGACCAATCGCTGCATATGCGAATGGTACTATTGCATTTACGTCTAAGGTATCTGGTGTTCCAGATATCCTCATAAATATCACTGGACCCTCAGGAAAACATAACCTAAACAGCGTTATGGAGTTGCCGGTATTCCACCCATGTGTACGATTAAACAGATGGAAAGAAAATCCAGGAGAACTCAGCTTCATACCCCCGGATGGACGTTTCATCCTCGCAGGCTATGAAGTGGATTTACTACCTTTCACTAACGGAAAAAGCGGGAATTTGAGTTCGAACAGCCTGAGACTTCCAGTAAACATCGAGGTCAAAACCGGGTTGGGATCAACTGGTTCAGACTTCGAAGTTCGGCTTAATATCAACAAGAACTTTGGACCTTCTAACTCTTCAATATCAGGGTCGTCTGGCAGAGGTGGCAGCTCAGGTGGCAGAGGATTCGGAGGACCACATCCAGGCTCGGCCGGCGCGCCACTATTACAAGACCTTATCGTCTCAGTGCCGCTACCTTCCGAAGTTAGGAACCTTTCAGATATTCGACCGAGTAAAGGAGACGCTAGTTTTAGTGCAGGAGATAGGGTATTGGAATGGCATATACCCACAAAGGAACTTTCCACCGGGACATCTTACTATGGCCTTCGATGCTCAGTCCAGGGTCTATTATCTGAAGATCAAGAAGATAACGATCCTAATGGGTTCGGTTTCGGCAAGGACTATACTTACGACGAGCCATATCAAAGCAATGTCAATGAGAAGCCCAAAAATGGGGAAGGAAGCTCGGACAGCGAGAAGGACGCAAAAAGAATTGCCCAGAACAAAATCCTTATGCCGAGCTCTGCATCCGTTAGCTTCTCTGTCAAAGGATGGTTATCAAGTGGAATTAAGGTCGAAAGTATCCTCATTGACCCGAGAAAGAGTCGAGGCCTCGGCGAAGGAATAAAACCGTATAAGGGTGTGAAGTATCTTACTATTAGTAAGGGAGGAGTTGAGACTAGATGTTAAAGGGTACGTAGGCCATATTGACGGTTACATTGGAGTTGCACTATCCAGTGATACTCTAGTGATGCATTGCATGATTGCATGATCGGCGTTTTGGTGTGCATGCTGAGGAGCTACAAGATATCACTACGCATAGATCAGCAAGGGGTCAAGCTAGGTACTATTAAATGATTATCTCTGTTTCCTCAAGATCAAACCGGCCTTTTAGAAAAACTCGAAATAGGTAAAGAATGAACAAGTATCACAAAGACTAGGTACCTCTCTGCCGCCGAAGTATTTAGTGAAATAGTTTTAACGGATATCTTCGGTTAGTACCTAACAAGGAGGTAGATCTGGGGAAGAATGTGGGGAGAGAGACCTTGGCAATTGCGGGCAGCTTAGCATCTGTTTAACAAGGGCCGAGGTAGCTGTAGGTACCTAAGATATGTACCCCAATATCTCAACAACTAGAGTCATCAATCAAAGCTTCGACCTTACAGCTTCTGAACTTTTGCTCCTTTAACCCGTATTTCCTTTCCCACCAATTACTATTTTATTTTCTTGCTCAACGGCTTAGCCAAGGTTCACATTCGATGACCGTGAGAATTGATCGCCGCAGCGCAAACATAGCTGGCCTGCGGTGATGAGTGCGCTCATTTCCTCGTTGCGCCGGCCCATCCATGCCGCGGGTAGGGTATGTCGCCGGTTCAACTCAACCGACTTTCTCGGTGCGGCGGTATACCCTATCGGTCCAATTGGTCGTCGAAACTATGTGTCATTAAAAGGGAAGAGACCGCGGACTGCTATCTTCTTTCCAGGTAAGGATTCCAATGAAATCCCTCGAGAACTAAGCTAATTAGCTCTACCTTTATTATAGGCCAAGGAGTCCAGAAAGTCGGAATGCTTACACCCTGGATCGAAGCCTTCCCAGCTAGAGCCGCTCAAATAATTGATGAGATTGATAGTTACATGGGATATAAGCTATCCGACATAATACAAAATGGCCCAAGCCGAGTACTAACCGCAACCCCTAACGCCCAGCCGGCGATCATGGCAACCTCCATCTTCATTCTCCGCATCCTCGAGAACGAATTTAACTTTGATATCTCTAAGCGAGTAGACGTATCGCTCGGACATTCACTTGGCGAATTCGCAGCCTTAGTGGCAGGTGGTGTATTAGAATTCGAGGACGCTTTATATATGGTGCGCAAACGCGCGGAAGCTATGGCGGAGGCTACCCAGAAGGCCAAAGAAAAATACGGAGGAGAATATGGAATGGTAGCCGTCGTTACGGAGCCCGAGTATTTAACGCAACTGATCGAGGCCATAGACGACTTCGTAGGATACCGCAGTGCTGGCGCGAGAAGTGAGAGCGCCAACTCCATGAAACCTATCGACCAAGTACTTATCGCAAACATCAACAGCAAGAATCAGATTGTGCTGAGTGGGAATATACAAAGGATCAAAGAACTGTCAGCTCATGTCCGACAATTCCTTGGCCACGACCCTAGAGCGGTTCGATTAAATAGCGACAGTCCATTCCACAGTCCAATCATGAGACCGGCAGTCAACGTGATGCGAGAATTAGTCTCGAGGAAGAGTAGAGTAAAGGGCCGCGAAGATAAGGATGTCATTACGTTTCCGGGTCGACTTCAATGTATAAGCAACGTAAGTGCGCGGCCATTCGAAGACGCCGCGGATGTGAAAGACCTCCTGGCGCGACAGTGTCTCGAAACTGTTAGATGGTGGGACAGCATCAAGTACCTGGATCAAGAGCAGAAGGTTAGAAGATGGATCGGTATTGGGCCTGGAAAAGTTGGTAGGAACCTTGTAGGAAAGGAGGTGGGTATGCGCGGGATGGACTCGGTTAAAGGGGGCGGCGTCTGGGCCATCACTGACCCAGTCGAGATTGAGGATGTCTTGAAAGGATTGGAAAAGACCGAATCATTACAGGAGGAGAGGAGGAGTAGTGACGTCTACATGATATTACGTGGGACAAGATGCCAAAAAAAAAAAAGCCCAAACCCCAAAAAACCAGGGTGTCTTATAGACGATGTTCTATGATAGGAGGAGATGGTATTAGATCTCTTAAGGTTTATCGAGCCTTTTTAAAAACTGTGCTATTATATTGTAGATACCTAGATATCATGCTAGATAAGGTTACTTACGGGCGTCTTTAAGATGATAGATACTACTCGAATACTAAACATTTGCATTTATATCTGTTATATTTAGTGGCTATACCCCTGAAAGTATGAAGGTGTTATACCCCCCTTTGATTCACTGAAGATCAAATAGTGGGGCAACTTCAAGCTCACTATCGATAACTCAACTTCACCAAACCCAAGCACTCAACCATCTTACTATCTTCCCAATTCCAACGTATACACAACAGCGCAAACCCGGCAAGCACATGTAGCAATGGCGACCGTAATACCCTCTATAGCCTGCCTAGGTGTAATAGGGCGAAATGTACGTTTGTTTATCATTTTCCTCCCTCCCTGCCTTCCCTCTATCCTAACCTATACGCGCAACCTCACTCACCCATTTCCACTCCGAGAAACTACCCAAACTGCTCCGACTACCATAGCTCCTCGCTAACATCAAAACGCAACTAGAACAACCCCCTCCACATAACCATATTCCCCTCCTACGACCCCGCGAGCAACACCCGCGCCCCCCTCCGCACGCCCCTGCAATTCTCCCTCCTCCTCAGCAGCACCCTCGACATCTTCGAGACGCGCGCGCGTCGCGCCAGCGCCGCACCTACATCTGGTGCCCCCACGACTACCGCCGGCGGCACCACCCCCGATTCTCACCGGCGACTTCGGGCTCCTGCACGCCGTGGACGAGCGCCTGGCCGCGTACGGCTTCGAGACGAACACGGGCGTCAAGTTCGTCGCTGTAGTCGATATGCGGGGCCGCGTGGCTGGAGGAGGGATTGGCTCCGCGGGGGTCATTAGAGGCGGTGTCGGGCTGAGGGAGACGGAGCTGCGCGTCGTGTTCCGCGCTATGCAGACCGCGTACGTCCGGCTGCTGCAGAATCCGTTCTACGACCCTGACGAGCACGCGCCGCTGGTGTTGCCGCCGGGCGGCGGCGTTGGCGGGAAGAGGATTACGAGCCGTAAGTTTGCGGAGGAGATGAGGCGGATTGGGGAGGGTGGGCGCCGGGGTTGGCGAGTTTGTAGTTGGGTGGAGAGGGGAATGGGAATGGGGAGGAATAGAAAAATGAAGGATGAGTTTGGGTTTGGGAGAGCGTGGCTGTTCAGATGCGCATGCATGTATAGTGGCGTTATGGGCTGGCGTGGAGCATGGAGTCTAGGCGTTCGTGATGGAATGATATTTGGTATTTCGTTTATACGGTGTTGCGCATTTATATACGTGCTCTATCTAGACATGATATACATAATTCTACGGATTAGATCCCTACTCCTGGTCGCGGCTTTTCGCCTGGCGCTCCCCTGAGAAGGCCTTCTTTAAATGTTCAATCCGTAGCCGTTGTAGACCTGCAGGCTCTTCGAGCTCTACTGACGGTCCCATGCTAGCATCATCCCCTCGGACAATCGGTGAAGCTGACCATGGCCGTGGCTTCGAAACTGGCGAACCTTCCCAATGCCGCGCTTCTAAAGGAAGTGGCTGCCACCAGTTGTCCCCTGTGCGGCTATGCCATTGAGCTCCGCAAAGTTCCCAAAGCCGACTCGTAGCTCGCTTGTAGGCGAATCGTTCATCCTCACCAGTAAACGCACTGGTGTTACTAAAGTCTACTTTGGACTTTTGCTCTACACCAAAGTCGGAATCCTGATCCGGATCATAATCCGTATTTTTTGAGTCGGTATATGACGAGATATTCGGCCTGAAGGGCGACATTGTATCTTGGTAAACCTCGGCCACCGTCTCGGAGTGTATTACGTCTCCGTCAATACTCTCGCCTCCTTTAGGAGAATCCCGTTTCATGGGTGAGGGGACAATCTTCGCTTCCGGGAAGAATATATCATCGGGAGCGGCTTCGGCCCGGATAACTAATTTACACTTGGCTTCATACAATGCATCCAATAATGTGATGAGTCTTCTTGCCTCGTTTTTTTTAAGAATCGTCAAGACAGGCACTCCATCGATGATGAAAGTATGAAAAGTTGAGGCCATCGTAATATAGTCGGCTGGTCCGAAGGAAGAGACGAGGTCCTTAAAGTCCCATAAAACAGATCCCCCGTAATGCTGAGGGATAGTGATAGCCCGTCCATAAACAGTCAATGTTAAGGACTCCCAAGGTATTTCGTGCTTTTTAGGTGGCAAAATCAGGCTGTTTAACGTTTCCAACCATAAAGCTTCATCTGTCTCACCTATGAGGAAATAATTCCTTGGCGTTGTAACGGATATACTTGATTCATCTGTCTCTTGAGTCTTTATATCAGAAGAAAATACTGTGGCGGAAGTCATTGCTGACTCGTCAGATATATAATTCCCGAAAGGGGTCTTAACATCTGGGCTCAGCAACTCGCTAGCCTCACGGCGCCTCCAGTCTTTACCTCCTTCCATTTGCCAGAATTCGCATCTTGCTTTCAAAACTTCAAGAAACGATGCAAAATCACTAGTAGAACCGAATAGTTCCCCTCTTCCACGAGTCTGTCTTAGCCCCAAGACTTGGCCTATGAGACTGCTAGTCGTGGGAGGAACGTATTCGACTCCGGTAGCTTTTTCCAGCTCATCTGGCATACGATTTGACGAAGCAACGAGGACGCCACCAAGTTGAAAGAATGCAATGAATAGATTACTGAGGATTTTGCTTGCAGCTCTATCCGGGAGTTGAAATTCATCCAGGAAAAGGATTGGTGATTTCTCAACCATATCTTTAGCCATCCATAGTAACGAATATTCTTGATCACCATGGTCTATATGTGAATGTGACTTTCGATAACGCTCAAGTTGGGACAGTGTATATAGCATAAAAGTATTAAAATGCCATCGCCTTTTGCGACTCGTAGGCAACCCATCAGCCAAGAGGTCAAGCAGCATTGATTTGCCAGTGCCAACTTCACCTGATAGGAATAAACCTTGCGGCGAATCTATTTGAATCGCCTCTTCATGGCTCGTGAGAACTTTTATGAGAGCTAGGGCATCCTTACTCTCATTGCGAGCGAAGAATCGAGAAAAAAGGGGGTTGCGCCAGATAGGATGGCTCTCGACTGCGAGAGTGCTCGACGGGTCTTTATCTTCCTTTCTAGCGCTATCCAGGGCGCTTGTAATGGCTTTTAATCTAAAACGGTACTCATGTGATGGTGAATAATCTTTGAGCCGATGATAGACCTTTTGAAGATGAATTGCTAATCGATGCTGAGCAGCATCGGGGGAACAGGCCCCAGTCGCTATTAGTGATTGATACTTCACCAGTGGATCTGTAATCGTAACTGAACTGATGCTTCGTCTCATCTCGAGATATAATTGCCCGGGGTAGCTCCCCAGGGTTATCTGACTACCATGGAGTAGTTAGGATATACACATAAGAAGTGAAAAGTCTAAACCCCCCAGTAGAGTATAGCATCACTATTATGCACCTAATAGAGCTATCCACGTTGCTAGATTTCTTGATATCTTCTAGTAAATATGGAGGCGATGAACATTTCGAGAGGACAAACTTGCAATATTCACTTTCCTAAAGAGGCAAATGAAGAAATGGTAGGGACAACTAATCTCTGTTATCCTTGATATATTCGTGGTGAGTGTCTTTATGTTAGAATGTTATAAATAGATCGTGACGATGACTGACGACTAAAATGACTTTATATTGAGAAGAGTTCCATAAATTTAGATTACGGAACAATACGGAATAAATTAGAAATACCCCTGATATGTTGAAGATTGAGGTTGTCGTTAAAGTCGAGGCTTAAACATTAGAGGTTGCCCCGGATTTGTTAGGTCCTTGCGATTGGTTGCTTGGCCCGTGCCTGTCTGCCAACGCACGAGCCACATGACGGTTGCAAAAGGATTTGACCCGTCCCTACTTGTCCACAAGCAACAAGCACAGGGGTCTTGAAGTTTCTAAAACGGTCTAGCTTCAGCCGCGCTTACATTGAACTTCTAATTTATATTAATAATACTATAGGATGCACTTACTTTATAAATGGAAATACATAATAATAAAAAAATTACAGTAATTAATTTAAATTCTACTATATTAATAGGGCTATATATAAATACCAAATTTTTATAAATCTTAACTATATATATAAATATATATAAATATTATTATATTTTATATTTTTTTATAATAATACCTTATTATTATTAATAAAATTAAATATTAATTAAATTATTATAAACCTTTTTTTATTTATTAAAAAAATTTTATACATTAAGTAAGGTATATAAACCTTAATAATTAAATTAAAAGATATAAAATTTTAAAAATTAAATAAAATAATTTAATAAATAATATTAAAAAATAATAAAAATAAAATATTTAATTTATAAAACTAAATTAATAAATAAAAAAAAATAATTAAACGTTTTATAAAAAACTAATTAAAATTAAACTAAAAATTAAATTATTAATAAAAAAAATTACAAATTTAAAAATAAAATAAATAAAAAAAATTTTTATTTTAATAATAATATAATAATTAATAAGTAATAAATTTTTTAAAAAGATTAAACTTAAAAACATTATAAAAATATTAATATAAATAAATTAAAATTAATAATAAATAATAATAATAAAAATTATATAAATATATTTTAAACATTTTTAATATAAATAATAATATTATAATAAACGCCACTTATTTCAAAAAAAATATATAACCAATTATTTATATTAAACCCATTTTTTATTAAATTTAATAATCCAATTTAATCAATACTTAAAAATAATTTAAATAACCTAATAAACATAACATTATTAAAATTATAAAATAAACCTTTCTCTTGTAAATATTAAACTAAATATAAATAAAAAACAAATAATTTTTTAAAAAATAAATTTATTATATTAAATTAAAAAAAAATACCTTTTAACGCCTACATAAAACCCAATTAAACGTAATAATAAAAATTAAAAAAAAATCTGTAAAAAAAATAACCTTTAATAACCTAATTATTATAAATAATAATTTAAAATTATTAAATTTATTAAACTTATCAAAATTATTAAAATTATTAAAATCAATAAAATTAATAAAATTAATAAATTATTATTATTTACTAATTATTAAATTTAAATAAAAAAATAAAAAATTAAAAAAAAAGCATAAAATATTAATATTTATTACAATTAATATAATTTTAAAATAAAATATTTTAATTTCTTTATTAAAAAAAATTACCTAAAAAATTAAACCAATTAATAAATATAATAAAAAATTATTATATTAGCTTTTAAAAAGATTGGATATTATAAAGGAATAAAGATTATACTTATAAACAAATTAAAAATATTTAAATTATTATAAAATATATAACATAATTTCCTTAACCTAATTTTAGGTATAAAAAAGATATAAAAATTTTAAAACTATTAAATAAAACTTACATTTTAATTAATAAAATTTATTAAAAGAATTATAGTATAAATTTATAAATAAAAATATAATAATAAAACTTTATTTAATATAATTTTAAATAAAAATAAACCGCACGAGTAGTGTAAAAATCCAGACTATTTTTAAATAATAAATAATAAATTATAATATTTTTATTTAATTGTAATAAAAAGGTAAAAAAAATAAAAATAATTTAAAAATTTTCCAATTACATAAATAATTAATTATATAAATTATAAACAATTTTATTAATAAATTCTATAACTATAAAAAAAATAAATTAATAAATAATTTTTTATAATTTTTAAAAAATAATAAAAATAAAAACCAAAAATTTAAATATTTTAAAAATAAACCTAATTAAAATAGTAAAAAGGCCTTTTTTATTATAAATATAATAAATACAACCACGTTTAAAAAAATTATTTAAAAAAAAATAAAAATAACAATTAAGGTAATTTTAAAATAAACTAAAATAATTAAATAATTTATATTCTATAACCGCCAATTAAAATAAATTAATACATAAATATTAAAAATGGCGTATATATTATTAAAATAAATATTAATATTATAAATTCCTTAATTAAAAATATAACATTTAACGCCTTAAAAAAAACCTTAAATATAAATCAAAATAATTAAACCTTACCTTAAAAGCAAATTAATAATTACATAAATAGGTAATTTATTATATTTATTAAATATTATATTCCAACTTTACTATTACTCCACATATTTTAATTAATTCTTTTAATATAAAAATTAATATAATTATAAATATATAAATATTTTATATTTGATATAATAATTAATATTTTTATAAAAGATATATATATTTATAAAAATTAGACCAATATTTATTACAAAATAAAAATTATATTATATAATTATAAAACCTAAAAAAAATTTATTAAAATAATATTATAATATACCTTTTATATTTAAAATTTTCCATTTAAAATTTTTTTAAAAAATTATTATCTAAAAAAATAAATAAATAATTAATAATTTAAATCTTAATAAAATAATCTTTATAATAAAAAAATAAATAAAATTTTTTATTATAAAAATATAATAAATCCAAACCTTAGATTTTAATATATTTTTTTAATAAGGATATAAATTAAAAATAAATATAAATATCAATAATAAAAAATTGGAAAAATTGCGTAAGTTTATAAAATATTATTTAAATTATTAAATAAAATAAAAAATAATTAATCTTTTAATACCAAAAATTATACTACTTTAATATAAAAAAATAAAATAAATTATAGGTTTATAATATAGATATTAATAAATTATTAAAATTTTTTTTTATTTTATATACAATTAAATAAAATTACAAAATATTTTTTAAAAATTTTAAAAATAAATAAACTATATCGACAAAATTATATAATATAATTTTAATACCTTATAACCTACTTTAATTAAAGTAATAAATATTTTATAATAATAATATAAAAATATATAATAACAATTTATAACATATAATAAAAATAAAATTATTAAAACTTTTATAAATATTTTATCTAACTATATAAAACATTTTAAACCCTATTTAACCTATTTAATAACTTTAAAAAATAAATTAAAACCTTT